AAAAATTAACGTCCGATTATAGCAATTTTATTTACAGAGTATATGCCCAGAGGGTTTAGTACGAAAATAGAACGGAATAATTAGACACTGTGTATTCTATTTTGAGACATTGTTCTGTCAGAAATAAGGTCTAAAATTAAGTTGATGTAACGACAAATATCGTCCCATTATAACATTTTAATTTTGTAGCAGACCCTCAGATTCTTCTTCGTATTAAGAACCAATGAATGTAACTGTCTTAAACTTATAACAGTGTTTTTCAGAGTTTGATCCGCCAATTCCTCTTTCGCATTTCTCCAAAAATATGTAGCTATTATTAGTTTACAATAGTTGTAGGTTGTTGAAGACATCAGTGTGTATTTTCAGATTTTCTTTGTTCTTGTCTAACTTTGTTTTTTTGTAATGCCTTGATATATTTTCTGTAAGTCTGTTTAGTTTCCCTTTTTTATCGACCTATATCATGACGGTACTTTTCTCCCTAGGGAATCATTTATCGTGATAAAATGTAGCCTTTATGTCAGGTTAAAGATTATATGTATAACAAAGGTTATTAAAATTCGTTGAGTAGTTTTTGCGTGAAGAAATAACATCCAAATTTACTAACTTATCACTTAAGATATTTGAAAGATGTCATACTATCTCAAATAATTTTCGAGTATATTATTAACTTTTTCTCAACTTTTACAATCGGGTATTAATTCTCATCTTTTAATTGCTGGATGAACCCAAAAGAACTTTGATCAGAAACAGTAGAATATTGGTTCACGTTTGAAATTTTCAATGAACCGATATTAAAGAAGTTTTACAAGCCGTTTCGTTATCAGAATCCGATTTGGTGTTGTTATTGATTACAGAAATCTGGTTTAAATAGATGTTTTGCAAATAATAGAACTAAACACTAATGAAACAAAATATATCCTTTCAAGTGAATCAAAATATCTGAATTTGATTTATCGGTTAACAATTTATATGTTAGTAATCAATTATTTTGATATAATTGCGAAATAATTAACTTAAAACAAAATTAATATTCAAATATTGAACAAAAAAAGGTTTACGAAAGGTTTAAAGGTTTAATATCTTTAAAACAAAATTCGTGAACGCAATCGTTATCAGGATGTAAAATATTGTAAAGCAATGAAGTTCGTAATTATGTTATAGTAAGGTAATATAAAAATTACACCGTTCCAAAATAGATACATTACAAAAGCAGACAGTATTTGTTTGATTAAAAATCTAACGAAAAATATTAACTACAATGCCATAACCTACTTAATGATTTTTATATCAAGAAAATTACTTTTTCTACAAAAAAAAAGAAAGGGATATCTGCTCCTGACAGCCATTTTAACTTGCGAATCCAAGTGTAATGGGTGTAATAAATCGTATAACATTGTTACGATAAAAAGTAAAACGTGATACCTTCGCAGATATTTCACTCCATTTTATATTAAAACAAGCATTTCTGTTTTTGAAACCTCTCTCGTTACTAATAACCTTTCTTGATTTTAGAAATTGAATTTGTCTTTACCCATGAAATTGCCATTCTGCCGTACTGGCCAATTCAAATAAAAATATTTTTTTGGCTGATAATTCTAATGTAATATTTTTAAAATATTTTAAAAACATGGGTTTCTTTTTTTCTAAAATCGTCATTTGTTTAATAGTTAGTGTTTTGTTTTTAACGCATTCTACATTTTTCGTCGACATGAATAAGTTAAAAATTAGAGTAATTATGGAGTATGAGTACCTACCGTCGTGGCAGAATTAGAATTAGAATTTGTTGCCTCCCGTCCAGTTGCTTTCTTTAAGAAGGGCTATTGATGTCCTGAGTTGAGTTTATTGAATTCGTTATTTCAAGTCTCAAGTAAATGTCAATGTAAAAAATTATCTTTTTCGCATCGAATTGATTAATTGCCGATGTAGCCGGTTTAACGTGCCTTTGGAAGTACGGAAAAGCTAGAGGTAGTAAATTTTTGATCAGCCATCCTATGATTGGCTGATTGTAAAGCTGCTTAACCACCGCATCGCATACCGAATGCTTAATTTTCAGTGATATTTCTGTTGCCGCTATAACGAAGGATACTGTAAACCCTTAAACAAATATTCAAGGGTAGCTCCTGTTTAATTAATCTATTGTATTGTTTTTACGCTTGACGTATTATATAGGTTTAGTGTGAAAGAAAAGAAAAGAAAAAAAAACATTGCTCGCTTACAGCTGGCGAATGACAGTCATTTCACCGTAAACGAAGCCAAAATGTCATATCATGAATGAATAGATGAAATATCATTTATCAGGTCTCGTATTTCGCGACCTACAATCACGCAATGCATATTTAAACGATAGAAGTACGGCTAATACAAACAGGAGCTTTTTTTTTTTAAGTGCCATCTTCGATGGTCGAAGTAATTTATGTAACTTTTAGCTTAAGTGTATTGTATTCTTGTTTGTGGTTTATAAATAAATTTAAAAAAATTGCAAAGAAAAATAACACACCAAAACTAAGCTACGTACGTTTGAAATTTATTAACGAAATAAATTTCAAAGCTGTTTTTACTGGAAGGGATAATTCTTGAAAGAGGTTAATCAGGTTTATTTAGCTCCATAAAATCATAGCATGCACCACATATTACACGTCTAAAACAATATATTGTAGTCGCACAGCACCAGCCTTCGATATATTATATTTTCAGAGAGCGATATTATTTTTCCTTTCGTTTCAATTGAATTGGAATAAAGGAATCAATTCCGTCAATACCATATGATCATAGCCGGCTGTGGGATATAATAACCTTTATTCTATTGGCATACAATGGTAAAGTAAATTGATCATTATATTTTTTCTATTATTAAACCCTACAACTTCGTATCTGTATGTCCAAATAGTTATTTCTATAAAAATCTTAGGTTCTTTTATATTAGTGTATTAAAGAAGGACAATCATATTTTTAATGACTTCACTTATCTTTCATGGATAATGCAACGCTTGAAAGTGATACTATCCGCTTACTCTTGTAGAGTGCAGTCTGCTCTTATTCGTCTTAGATTCATCGTTATCTATAGACGTTTGGGTAATCACACTCTGACGAAAAGTATATACAATTGTAATAAAAGTAATTTAAGTAAAAATTTATTATTTATTTTTCTTTGTACACGCTTTTTTTATTAATCAAATAGACAGCGTATCATATTACTCTAAGGTGCATCCAGTACTAAAGGAAGTTAACAAAAAAAATAGGAAATAGAAGGAGAATACCTTTTTGCCGCATGTCAATGCAACATATTTATAATGAACGATGAGTTGTGACTTTAAACATTTTACAATTCCATAACTCGTTAACACAATCGCTATACTTTTTAAAGCGATTGCAATATTAGATAATTAGGCCACACATTTATTATTTATATTCGCAATTTTGTTTTTCAAATTGTGTTTAAAAAATAATTTATCGCTATTCGGTTCAGTTTGTCACTCATGGAAATATTCACGCAACGCAATTTGGAATGTTTTGTTGGCTGATGCAGATTGATAATACATTAACACTAAACACTATGAGACTTTCTCAAATTTAGTTAAAAAAGTTGAGATTATTTTAGGGTTTAAAATACGATAATGTAAAAAAAATCAAAGGAATCGGAATTCGAAACAAAACTTCATCTTTTAAATAATAATCTTAGACTCAAATTGCTGTCTACGAAATGTCAACGTTATTTATTGATGAAAGTGAATGTATATAAATATTTTATTCAAGAAATTCATTGAATTCAATTGAGTTTCGGCCTCTCTTACCTTTATAACGAGGGTTTAGGTGAGTGCCATAATTTTATTTCCACTCAGTAAAGTGTCAAAGCGTATATCCTATTCAGTTATTCAGAGATATTCAAACTATATACATGTATGACACCAACTTCTAAACTAAATTATGCATAGTAAAATGCTTTTCAGCTGGTCTTCTGAATTAGAAGGTTAATTTTAAAAAATTACTGTTTTTGTTTATTTTTGTAAACATGCTTAATAACTACATGAGGTTTGACGTTACACGTACTATTTTTAGACGCAATTATTTTTATACCACATTAATAGAGATAAATCACATCATATAACGTATCTTTTCCCTCTTATATGTAGGAAAAAGTGAGAATTAGCTGCGAGAAAAATGAAATTCTTTTTATTTTACGACCTAACAAGATTCTCAAGAATGGGATTGGAAGCAATTCCTAAGATATAATAATAACATGGTCCCCTTTAAATCATCAGTCATAAAATTACTGAATACAAACTTGGCAAGCAAACCGCGTTACACTTGGAATGGGTTGACTTGGTTGGATTTAATGAAAATTTAGTAAGCGTTCAATCCTGTATTGATAGATACACATCGGGTTTAATCAAATATACTCAACATTTAATACAGTATTGAACTTTGCGTGCATTTTGATTCAATACAATGTCAACCAAAGCCAATGTGTCGGTGAGCCCCAAAGGGGTAGCTTGAGCATGCTAACATGTCCCCTTTAGCACTCAAGTTTTTTTTGTTATATTTTATCGTGTTCCTATCGTTCAAATGTATGGATTGTGTTATACGCTTTACAGGATCATTTTTTTATTTCAGAAATAAATTTATTTATGTCCTACTCCTCGTAATTTTTTGAACGTCTAGCATCAACATCGGCATTTTACCTGCTAATACTAATGGGCTTTGACAACACCAGATCAACAACTGAGACTGAAACCAACTTCTTAATAAATCATTAGAAACTAAAAGAACGATTTTTTCTCGTCCTTTAAAACACGATAAACCATTACCAAATAAATGTGCTATATCGATCAATGAACGAATGAAATGAATAAAGACTCGTTTTTGTTTCAGATGTTCACATGCAACTGACGAAATCGAACCTATTCGAAATGGATTCGATAAGCATAATCTACATTTACGAAATAAGATGAATAGTGCGCAAACAAACATGATACTAAGAGAGCTCTTAACACGCGCCCACAATGCATGAGCTCATGTTCTTCCAGCCATTTTCGTCAATACCAGAATCAGTAATAGTGGAACAAGAATTGTATTGGGATGCAGCAGAAAATTTCTCTTTGGACAATTTCAATTTGTCTGTTACGTACGAGAATGGCACAAGGAATGGAACAGATCAGGTTAGAGATGGGGCAGTGAATAATTGGTGGGCATTGGTGGCGTTACTGCTGGTGGTATGCACGGCTGCTGGGAATGTGCTGGTCTGCTTAGCGATCTACTTGGAGAGGAGATTACAAAACGTGACTAATTACTTTTTGATGTCGTTGGCCATAACCGATCTCTTGGTGGCCATATTAGTGATGCCCGTGGGAATACTGACGTTGGTCAGAGGTAAGTCAATAATTATTTTTATTGATTAATAAGAAATATTGGTATAGCTGTTCATTGTTTTCTGTCATTGAAATTTGGATTCAAACATGAAAGTAATTCCAGCTGTAGTGTTGTGGAGTTTAGACCATATAATCAGTGCATTAGAAATCAAAGAAGTTACGTTTCAAATCATGGTGATAAGACTTGTTTCTGAAAGTCATTTTAAGAACAAGTAATATAATGTTCCATATTTTTTCATTCAGTTGTTAATAATATATATCTTAGACGGAGCCTAAGTCAAAATCAAATTTTTAGTACCTATATATAGTATAAATTGTTTAAGGTAGACAAAATAGACGAAAATTCCATAATAGGTATATCGAACGTTGATTTTTAAAGTACCTATGAGTACTTTTAAAATAATTGAATGGTGTACTATGACCCCCAATCTAGTGTATGTCCAGATATCTACTTTAGTTTTTTCTAGAATCTTTTAGTGTTATTTAGCTATACGATAAACTTAAATCTTAGGGACTTTCATGGGAATAAATCGGTGATTCTGTTGACACTAATATGTGATCTGATGGAATTTCGCAGAGTAAGTTTCAGGAACTGATATAACATGTCTTGGTAATGGTACGATTATAGTCTATGGAGAATTATTGATATGTGTTTGTAACTCATGATTCAGAGGCATTACTTTTTACCATCTATGTTTTAGAAACTTTTTTTGTATTGGCATTGGGTTTACATTAATTTGACACAAGATTGCGTACTGCAGCTATGAAACAAGATTTGATACGAAACAAAAACTTGTTCGAGAATCTTTTTGTATCGTTGAAGAATATCAATATCAAATTATGTTGCAGTTTCAAAATGTTACACTAGAAAATATTCTTAATGGAAAATGCTTAAAAAACCTCTTTCCCTGGCACTCTGAGATGGGACTCGAGCCCACGATCCTTAGCAATTTAGGCGACTGCTTTTACCACTGAGCTACCCAGGACCTACCAGGACCTGAATATGGGTCGGCACCCATATTTTACCGACCGACCTTACCGACGACCGTCGCCCGACTGCAAAAGGTCGTGGGTTCGTATCATATCTCACAGTACCAAGCACAAAGTGGATTTTTCAAAACCTTTTTCATTATTATACACCTATTCAAAGAAGTTTTCAATGTCAACAAATGGAGGTCAACATTCTATTTAAAAGGATACTCCCCTCTTTCGAACTGCGTGTCGTATCTCGACAAGTAAAAATAACTTAGTGTCTTGTTTGACAAATTGCTTCGCTGTAGTTTTAATTAGTTCCTGTAACGTTAGGGTGGACTCAAGTTTCTTCGCAAGAAAAACAAGCCTATGAAACTAGGTTTATATATGACAATCAAACTTAATACAAATGAAAAATACAATATATGAAGAGGAAAAGGAACAGAGAATGGGAATAGAACTAATTACTAATCAACGATAAAATGGAGAATAGATATATTGAAATATGATTTTTAAAAGTACGTGTCTTGCCTTAAATTATATCTTACAAGTAATTTGTTTTTTTTTTTATATGTTATTTGCCTATCATTATATACGTTGACTTCTGAGCCATAAATAACTCAAGTATTGTTTTACTTAATTTTGAAATTGCTTTTAGTAATAAGCAAACGTGGCCGCTTGGGTATCTAAAGAAAAGTATATGTGAAGGTATATTTAAAACACACTAACTCTTTAGAATAGAGAAAGGTTTTGAAACTTCGATTTGGATAGATAAGTTTTTCAAAAATGGTTTATATGTAAAAGGGAAGCTCTGTGCAGACTGGAACTTAAAATTCTCTCTTAGAATTAACTTTTTTTAAGACAAATATGGATATAGCACTGTGAATGCAAAATTGGCAGAATATAACAATTACTGATCACTTTGTATATCCTGTGGTTAGATTATACGTACTCAAGTAAGAGCTTCGCGCATTCTATATTACACGACGTCTTTAGAAGACTGTTGGTACTACTAATAGCAGCACAAATTGATAGCTTCTAAACTGTTTTAAGAAAACAAATCGCATTCCTTGTTGATTGAGATATGGGGTGTATAGTCACTCCAATTGTATCCTACTGACAGTCCTCAAGAGATTGGACGTGGAAAGTGCATTGAACACTGAAATACAGTAATAACACGCATTCCTCTAAGTAAAGACAATGGTCTGTCTTATAACCATAATAAGAATTATAATAATGCTTATAGCTTCTTCAATAGAATTGTTAATCATCCTATCAATGTGTCAGGAATTTTGTATATTTAGAAGTACCTATTTTGTGAAAGCCTTTTATTAAATTTGTCGGTCTGACTCCACAAAGGGATAAGTAGGATACCTCACGAATACCTGGCTGTTGTTTGAAATATGCCCGCTATGACGTCACTAGAAGGGTACAATACAGTAATATACTTTTGAGCGACATATTTCTCTTTTTATTAATTTCGTGATATTTTTGAGGTCACATATTCCACCTGTTGCTGTGCAAGCAATTATGTTATAATTAGATAGAGAATCATAAATCAATTGAGCTCTGTGGGACATTCGTTCTATATTGCAGAGCTTACACAAATTTTGTATAAGTTGGTATAAGTTGGAATTTTGTATAAATTCGTTTGGTAGTGATGTGGTTTATATGAATGTCGTAAGTTTTACGGTTGTCTGGAAGATATTTAGCCCTAAGACTGGCGGTATTATAATAAAAATGTTTGTAATTTTTCATGTCCAAATAATGAGTTCATTAATCTATTTCGTTCGTTCTTTTTATCAATCAAAAAACAGACAAAAACATGGACATATTTAAATAAAGACTATTTTCACTTCTTTACTATTTCTGGCGACATATTTGCCAGCCTCTTTAGATAACTGTTTTTATATTTTGTTTACTGTTTTTGTGTTTTAATATTTTAATTTATTGACATTTGAGATCTTCTACAGTTATTATTATTACTATCGCTGTCTGTCTTGTGATTAACAAAGTAATTATTGAATACATCGTTTCCCACTAATTTATCTTTTTGATTTAATTATTACAGTCCACGCTAAGCGGTCGGTAACAATTACAACTAACCCCTCGTAAGATTCGTGTGCATCTGTAGTCATCATCATTGCCAGCCTATTAATGCCCACTGATGGGACTCAGGCCTGAAATCGGGAATGGAATCTAATTAAATAAATAGGTAGAATGGACCATGACCCACCACGCAAGCCCAGTGCGGATTGGTAGGTATTAAAGACTAGAAATACAGCTGGGAGCAACGGCTTCGTGCCTTCCGATAAAATAATTTTGGTCACCCATCCCATGATTAGTCATTGTAAAAGTTGCTGAACAACCGTATCGCAGACCGAGCGCACTAATCATAACGCCATCGAGCTCTTGCATATGTTATAAAATCCACCAATCCACACGAACTTCTCGTAAAGCACTAGAATTTTCTCCCGATACCACTTATACCACAAGCATAATAGAAATTAGACATCTGCCTGACAGAAAAATATTTCTGAGATAGAACAATTCGAGATGACTCTAACTATAAATACAATTCATCACTGATCAACATCAAAGTGAGCCAAGATCATTAATATTGATCTCAAAGAATATTTCGCCTGTATTGGAACTCTCTGTGCATGGTTCCATATTGGACTAGTGCGTGTAATCTTATATTTTATTCAATACTAGCAGTTTTCCCGGGACTTCGCTCGCAGTTATAGTCTGTGCCATTTGCGTAAGATAATTTTTTCCCTAGGTAAAAGAATATTTGAAATTGTTCTTGTAGTTTCGGAGCCTATAAAATGCAAAGAATCGAATCGAATATAACTATAGAATCGAACTCAAATGTAATCTATTTATTCCTAAAATAGTGAAGAGTTTCACTTATGTTACAACAATCAATTAATTACACAAACAATGAGTTTTCCACATTTTAATATTACACATAGCTAATTTTATTAAATATAATAATTTTAAGATACGTCAATAAAATTCCTTTCCAAACTTCTCTAAAATTCACACAATTCCCTAACGCAAAACTATTTGAAATAAATCAGTATATCATGAAAAGTAGCTAATTGAGTAAGTAATGTACGAAAGGTCGGCCGCACACGTTGCCACAACACTAACGCATTAGCCCCGTATTGTTGTCGAATTCACGTTGTAACGTCACGCGTTCTTCCAAGCTGCTCGATCATCCATCACCGCCATTCTGCTTCCATGAAAGCATGAAACATGGCTACGTGATGCCAAATTAAATTATAGGCTTAGGACTCCCGTTGACTAACGACAAAATATTTTGTCATTGTGACAACTTTATGCGTCTTTATGTTATTCAAGGCGAACATAATATACAAGCTTAATAGAAATTAAGTAGCTATATAATGATAAAGGGTATGAACGCATTAATGTATGCGTCAGTCATGATTTCTGTTGGCGTACCTTTATATTACTTACTTTGTAATTTGGTTTATGTGTATAAGCATATTCGCAAATCATTCAATAATTTGTTCGAATTTATTTTTAAATGAACTCAAAATATTAAAGGGGATGTTCTATGTTATATATAACATTCAAGTTGACCTCACGCACGAAGGGTTCGCCCGCGTGGTCCCTAGGGAAACGTTTAGTGCGATAAAAAGTATACCTATCTGTATACCAAATTTCATCAAAATCCGTTCAGTAGTTTCGGCGTGATTGACGGACAGACGTCCTAACATTCAAACCGAGAAACTTTTACATTTATGATATTAGTAGGATATCCAAACGTCTACCTTTTGTTGTTGTCAATAGCGAGCGAAAACGAGCAAAAAATTACGTTTGTTGTATGAGAAGTCCCTATATTTATTTATTTTTTAATTATTTGTTGTTATAGCAGCAAAATAAATAACATCATCTGTAAAATTTTAAAATTTCGTGGCATACGGACGGACGAACAGACAGACTAACGAAGTCTTTGTAATATGGTCCCGTTTTACCCTTTGAACACGGAACCCCATAACGTGTGGCCGTGTCTTGTTACGTTTGGTCCTATTTACTCCATGAATATAAAGATAGAGGAATAATAAAATATCAAGTCAGAATACTAACGCCATCTGTTGACAATGAAAATAAATGAAACGGTGACATTCCACCTTGAGACAGTTTTCTAACAGATGATCGATTGTAAAAACAAACTGTGCCCTTGACTTTTGAGCGAGGCGAGACTGTCACTGGATTAATTAAGGGCGAGCTTAGACCTTCATTCTTTACTTACCATTCACGTTTCCTTTTAACGCAGCAATTGATTAATGTAACCAGTGATTTATTAATAAACACGGGGCCTTATTGTCAACTTTGGCATTTTATAGCGATCCCTTTCGATTTGACATTTGAAAGATTTACGCTATTTTGAGTAGCTCGGTGGCGTAGTGGATAAGCGCCGCGGCCCGCGATCGTAGTCGTTAAGCAACTTTCGCAAGGGTCGGTTACGGAATGGGTGACCAAAATATTATTATCTCGAGCTACTCCGTGCTTCGGAAGGCACGTTAAGCCCGGTCCCGGCTGCATTTGCAGTCGTCAATACCCTCCAATCCGCATTGGGCCAGCGTGGAGGGTCATGGCCCATCCTCCTTAACCATCCATAAGGAAGGCCTGAGCCCCTGCAGTGGGGACGTGAAAGGGCTGGTGATGATGATGACGCTATTTTATTTTTACGCTATAACTACTACCCTACACGAAATATGTCAGCGATTGTGATCGCGAGGGTTTTTTGAAATATATCGAAATATCCTTAATTTGACATCATTTGGAATGATGTCAAATTAAGGATATTAAACTCTTCTAAAGTGTAGTTTAAGTAGTATATTCATAATTAACTTTATGCCGCCATCGTGTATTTCTGTATCCCAAAGGTTGACTGGTAGAGAATGCTAATAGCATTAAGTCCGCCTCTTGTACCAATTTAGTGTACAATAAAGTTTGTTAAATAAATAAATAAATAAATAAGCGTTAGACGAAAATATTACTATGTTCCTCTATCATTCTAATCATCATTCGTTACGAAAACGACTTAAAACTTAATCATTAATTCCAAAAAAAGATTAAGATAGATTTTTAAATTAGAAATTTAACCCAACGAAAGTTTTTCGTGTTGTTTTCTTTTTTATCATGAACCTACTGACTTACGACTTACCTTACGACTTACCTTACGACTGCTGGACGTGGGCTTTCTGTATGGATCGAATTGAATAGTGGAAACGGGCCCTGACTATGGAATAATGTAAATATGAAAATCGTAATCATTATAAGGACTAGTAATGATTTCTGAATGATAATGAATCATAATAAAAACATACCTAAATCGTTGCAAGATTCCTGTTAGCATAAAACTCTTTCGTTTGACAAAGTTTGTCTTAGCTGATTCCGGTTAGCTTTTCAGAAATTAATCGATCATACAATATTTTTCGAAAAACTCTACGATTGCAGTAGTTACCACTAATAGTTATAATGTGAAGTTCGTGAATATATTTCAAATGTCAAATTAAAAGGGATTGAAATAAATTATAAAATAAGACAATTAGGCCCCGGATTTGTGTGTGCTATCGGCTGCAAATGCAGCCGGGATCAATGGTTTAACTTGTCTTCTGAAGTACGTAGAAGCTCGAGATAGTAACTTTTTGGTCACCCATCCTGTACCAGGCCATTTCAAAAGCTGCTTTACTTTCGCCCATATGCGCTATCGAACTCCTCTGGTGATTGTGATTTTTATTTTATTAATTATCTGGATAATGTATCTAAGTTAGACGTACTTTCAAAAATGAGATTTAGTAAATATAAATTAAATAAACTGGCCAAGTCCCAGTCAGATTGTCCCACAAATAATTCCATACTATTATCTATAAAACACGCAAAAAAAATTTTAATATTATAGTAATCATGTCAACAGAAATATACCATCTATGAAAGTTTTAACTGTCAAGTTGTCAGAGTTGAAACTTTCACAGATACAACGGATAGTGGACTCTTATTAATAAGGTCCCATTTTACTCTTTGGGTATGGAAAACTGAAAACCGTGAACTTCTAATACTATACTATCTGAAATTATGGTTTTAAATTCAACTCCACGCGTTCTCGAGATAAAGGGTCTTCATCTTCAGCCCTTTTT